GCGAGCACTCCGGTCACGAGCCTTTACAGATTTGCTATATACTGTGTTTGCACAAATAGAGACCACATTCAAGGATTTTAAAATACCAGAGTAAAGTCCATACTTGGTGTGACTGGGCTGTAATGATAGACTATGTGCATGTTTGCACAGCTTTTACAGATAAAACTGTACTCATTCTGTCCGTGAAAAAAGCCATCTGGTCAAGAACAAGCCCCATGCAAAGGTGCTCTGTGCCCCCTGTGGCCTACCCCGAGTCTACTGTCTTCCTGAGGAGAGCGGTCCACATGCAGCCAGCTTGGAGGGCAGGAGGAGCAAGGACCCATGTGTCTGCAACAGAGCACAAAGGCATACAAGTCTCTATAATAGAGCAGAGTGCTGGTACTTCACAAAAGGCTCAAGAAACGTCTGAGCCTCTGATTTGCACAGCAAAATCTGGGGAAGGGGAATATGTAAGCCTTATTTGAGCAAATATGGTAAAAATAATCTTCTTTTTCCCCTAATGCTTTGTCAGGGTTAGTAAAACCACACTGTTCATAGATTACACATGTACAAATTTGGAGCTGTGACTTTACTAGCTATATGACTTCTCTATTTATAATAATGTGTTTGTCCTTGTCAGTCCCTTTCCATGGAAGATGTTGCAGGGAACTGCTGTTTTGCGGCAAAAATCCTATTACACCTTTACCATTCTGCAGAGATAAATTTCTGCCAAAGTCTTAATGGCTTGGGTTATATCTCCTCACCCTTAGGATGGCATAAGCAAAGAGAGGACAACTGATTATTTAAATAATATGTTCTGAAGAAGATAACAAGGCAGTTACCATGATGCTTGTGTTGTGGCACCTGCTGTTTTGCTAATATTTTGCTTACTATCTACATAAATATGAAGTGTTAACATGTTCAATGACGAAAAATAAATGCTGATAAATCAAAATGAGGAAGAGGTGCAAACAGTAGCCTTCTCCAGCAGATAGCCATTGCCAGGTCTCAGAGTGGTGCAGTGCAGTGTGAACTGAATAGCCCTGGGCATCCATTTGCCCGCCTGCACTGGCCTAGTGCTGCAACTCAAGGCTGGGGCAGAGGGGAAGAAAGAAGGGAAAGCCAGAAAAACAGGGAGCAGGGGGATCTATGTGTCATTAGGTATGTCTGTGGGAATGAAGACCCCATCCTGTAATGGTTTTCTCTATGTGCACTTCTAAGTCCCAGCATCCTGCCTGTTTTCTGGTCCAAAACCGTGCAGCTGGCCAAGGGGAAGGGAGAGACTGCCCGAAAAGGCTTGGCCACAGCGAGCCTGGGTAGGTGTCCAGGGACACAGGCTGCAGGAGTACATACATATTTGATGTGGGAGGACAAAGTGCACTCAGCCTGGTCAATGTTGCCCTGAAAGCTGGTGTGGCTGGTTGCTGGCTGGGCTTGGATCGCACAGCAATGCTCATCCAGCTCATCAGGATGGGCATCATGTGTCCTCGCTGTCCCTGGCAGTTAGCAGGCAGGAAAGGGAAGGGTGAGGGACCTTCTGGTGTGATGCATTGCCTGGTGGATCTCTGCGTGGGGGAGTGCCAGCCCTCACCGCCCGGCGGTGCCCGATGCCCAGGGCTGCCCTCGCTCCCCCCCGGCATGCAGTGTGGGACAAGGTACACACCTGAGCTGTATACCCCTGCGGGGTATGTGTTTGTGACCGGGGGAGCTCCTGCCTGGGGTGTCTCATGTGTGGGGGGGTCCTGCGCCACCTCCTGGGGCACGGGCTGCCCAAGGCCCCCCGCGCTGGGCTTCCCTGGGAGATGGAGAGCCCGCACAAGCCAGGCCACCCCCAGCCCCTCAGCTGGGCTGCATAGCCCCACACCAAAGTGAGGGAGAGGGGGCAGAGGAAAGGGAAAAACAAGAAAGACACTCTGCACAGCAGATACCATTAGCATTGAAGTTACTGTCAGTTTTTAATTTCATTTGAGTTTTATGGTTGAGTTTAAAATGCACAGCTATTTCTTTTTTGGCAGTCACCTGCTCTGACTGCGTTTTTCTTTAATATTTAAAATATTAAAGAACTTTAATATCTAAAATATTAGCTATGTTTTGAGGCTGACAAAGCCCTGTGTTTACCTTAAAGCTCTTGATACTTACTATCCACTAAATTGTAAGAATACACAAAGCTGCAGCTAAGCAAAATATGAAAATACCGGGCAATCCAGCCAAGGCTATTACATTAGCGTGCCATGTTCCCTAAGTAGCATGCACAGATTTTTACATATAGATTGATGATTCACTTGCAAAAACAAACAAAAAAATCCACTATCTTTTAAATGAGTCTGATACAATATAAACGAAACAGAAGTGAATAATTTCATCCTAGGATTTTTAAAAGATAGGCAGCAGCTACTCTGCTACAGCATGTCCCATGGTATTTGCTAAATGGCATGTGCAGTTGCAATCAATTGCTCATTACACTTGCCACGCACTGCACAGATGCAAGCAAACATGGCATTACTGATTGCCCTTGACCCTGGGCAACGCTAGTATAGGAGGGCATTTGCTGACTGTTCACATGAACTAAAGAGCCATTTTTGTCTGCTCCCTGTGGAAATACTTGCTCATCAATTTGCAGATGTTGTTCAGGAAGCCACAGCTCTGCTGCATCTCAAAGTTAGATTTCAAGTAGTTTGCGAGGTGGTGATGCCCCGTCCTGAGACCTTTCAAAGGCATCAGTTTCTTGAGAGTAACGGCAATGCCCGTCCGTCCTGGGAGAGGCTCTCTCAGGAGCTGGCGCTGAGCAGCTGAGGCAGTCCTCTTCCGCCGGTGCCCGTGGGTCTGCCTCACCGTACGGGACCCCCGCAGCTGCTGCAAGTCACCTCATGCCAGCAGGGCAATGGATGTTTCTAAATCAGCGTTTTAGCGTGGATCCGGCACTGTTGAAGATAACCACCCTACAGTCCCTACTTACCCTGTATTGCACAGGTGGTTTTGAAGCACGTGAGCTGAATAATTTTGACTGGATGAAACTAAACCAGAAGATACACTCCAGGAGCACAACAGGGCACTGCAGTTGGTACTAGGCATTCAGTCCACAGGGCTAAGTCTGACATAGACCTGTTCAACGCACTGGGAACGTGGACACTGGCCCCCCCTCCCTCCAACTGTTATCTCGCGTTGCAGGTCCCCTCGCACTGAAGAGCACTACTGGGCTAAGGCGGACACAGCCAGCGTGGGCCCCCGGGCTTTGCTGTACGCTCCTCCTGGGAGC